GCTGAGCGCCGCATCGGCATTGTCATGGACGTCGCCCGTACGTCCATGCTGCATGCGGCTGCCCCCCATTTTCTGTGGCCGTTTGCGGTTCGGTACGCCGCGCATCAGATCAAACTTCAGCCCAGGGTCTCCAGACCGGAGACCTCCCCAGCTTTGCTGTGGACGGGGAAGGTTGGCGATGCGTCGGCGTTCCGTGTCTGGGGATCTCGGGCGTTTGTCCGCGACTTGTCTGCGGACAAGCTGTCCCCTCGTGCTGCTCCTTGCGTCTTCCTGGGTTTCCCCCCTGACGCACCTGGGTGGCAGTTTTACCACCCCACCTCTCGTCGTGTTGTGTCCTCCCAGGACGTCACGTTCGACGAGTCGGTTCCCTTCTACTGGCTCTTCCCCTACCGCACTCCGTCCCTCCCCCCGCCGCCCCTCTTCCTGGTCCCAGGTCCCCCCCTGGTAGACCCCCTCCCCCCTCAGGGTCCTGCCCCTTCAGGTGTGTCTCAGGTAGACGCGGTCGAGCCTGTCGAGGTCACTGGTGACTCTGGTGCTGCTGCGGGTGCTGAGCCTGGGGGTGCTGAGCCTGGGGGTGCTGAGACTAGGGGTGCTGAGACTGGGGGTGCTGAGCCTGGGGGTGCTGAGACTAGGGGTGCTGAGCCTGGGGGTGCTGAGCCTGGGGGTGCTGAGCCTGGGGGTGCTGCGCCTGGGGGTACTGCGTCTGGGAGTGCTGCGCCTGCTGCTTCTGTTCCTGGTGGTTCTCCAGACCGTTCTTCGCGCCGCGAGCCGCTCTCTCCTCTGGAGCTGCGTGAGTGGTTTGCCCGGCGCTGGAGGCGAGCTGCTGGAGCTGGGGGTGCTGCGGGTGCTGGAGGTTCTGTTGCTGCCGAGGGAGCCGGTACCACGGGTCCCGGAGGTGCTTGTACTGAGGGTACTGGAGCTGCCGGGCCCGGGGGTGCCTCTGGAGCTGGAGCTGCTGCGGGTGTTGGCGTTGAGACTACGAATGTCGGTCCTACTGAGGGTACTTCTGCAGCTGCTGGAGGTGCTGGAGTTGGAGCTGCTACTGGTACTGGTGCTGCCTCTGGAGGTGTTGGTGCTGTCCCTGCTGTCTCTGGCGGTGCTGCGCGGCCTCGGCCGTACTTTGTTCCGCTCCTTCAGCAGGTTCTTGGTCTCCCGCCTTCCACTGGTCCTTCTCCTCCCGTAGAGTGTTCACAGCCTGTCTCGTCGCAGTCACAGTTACAGCCCGCCTCTCCCCTGCCTTCTCCTTCTCCCTACACTGGTCCTACTGGAGGTCTTGCTGAGCGTCGTGAGCCTGCGTCCCGCCCTGCGTCGCCAGTCCGAGCTGCTCGCCCTAGTGGTCGCGGATCACATCAGCGTCCTCCTCCTGTCCCTGGCACACACCAGATGTCTCTGCGTCCGTCCACTGCTCCTCTGCGTGCCCCTTTGCCTTCTCCTCCTCAGTCTTCTCTTCCTACACTTGCCGACCCGGAGTCGGACTCTCGCCGTGCTGCCAGTCCTACTGTCACGCGTCTTCTTGCTTCTCTTGTCACTGACCCTTCCTTTGAGTCCGCTGCTGCGTCTGCCCTAGTTGCTGAGCTGGTCGACTTTGCTGCTGCGTGTCGTTTAGACTACGCTGCCAGTCTTGTTGCTGAGTCTGCTGAGTCTGCTGCGTCTGCGTCTGCTGCGTCTACGTCTGCCTGTCCTTCGTCCGTCGGGGGTGACTGTGCTCTTGGCACGGACGTCCTTGAGGACAGGCAGGAGGAGTTCCAGTGCTTTGCCGCCGCTTTGCCCCATCTCGTGTCCATGCGTGTTGCCCCTGAGGGAGACCCGGATGCTCTAGACATCCCGACCCCACACTCTTACGCAGAGGCGATGGCCGGTCCCTACTCCTCTCAGTGGCAGTCAGCCATGGACGCAGAGATGGCTTTCTGGAAGTCCACAGGCACCTACGTCGACGAGGTTCCCCCACCTGGGGCGAACATCGTCAGTGGCATGTGGATTTTCAGGGTGAAGCGGCCGCCGGGTTCTCCGCCTGTCTTCAAGGCGCGCTACGTGGCTCGTGGCTTCAGTCAGCGACAGGGAGTTGACTTCTTTCAGACCTTCTCCCCGACCCCGAAGATGACCACTCTTCGGGTTCTGCTGCACGTCGCTGCTCAGCGTGACTTCGAGCTACACTCTCTTGACTTCAGCACTGCTTTCCTGCAGGGCCGCCTGCACGAGGAGATCTGGCTGCGCCGCCCTCCTGGTTTCACTGGGTCGTTCCCTCCTGGTACCCAGTGGAGCCTCCGGCGGCCAGTCTACGGTCTCCGCCAGGCGCCGCGCGAGTGGCACGACACACTGAGGACTACACTTGCGGCTCTTGGGTTTGCTCCTTCTACTGCTGACCCATCGCTGTTTCTGCGCACCGACACCTCGCTGCCGCCGTTCTACATCCTCGTGTACGTCGACGACTTGGTCTTTGCCACTACGGACACTGCCGCACTCGCCCACGTGAAGTCCGAGCTGCAGAAGAGACACACGTGCACAGACCTGGGTGAACTGACAAGCTATCTTGGCTTGCGGATCACCTGGGACAGAGCACGCCGCACCATTACCCTGACTCAGTCACACATGGTGCAGCAGGTCCTTCAGCGGTTCGGCTTCACGTACTCCTCGCCTCAGTCCACTCCTCTGCCTACGGGACACTCGCTCTCAGCTCTGCCTTCGGATGAGTCCGTAGAGTCGAGTGGTCCGTATCCAGAGCTTGTGGGCTGCCTCATGTACCTGATGACCTGCACTCGACCTGACCTCGCATACCCTCTCAGCATCTTAGCACGCTATGTCGCTCCCGGCCGTCACCGGAAGGAGCACATGGATGCAGCTAAGAGGGTGTTGCGCTACTTGTGCAGTACGTCGGGCATGGGGCTAGTGCTTGGAGGGCGTGAGCGGCCTGTGCTCACTGGGCACTCAGACGCTTCTTGGGCTGACGACCAGGCTACTCAGAGGTCGTCTCAGGGTTACACCTTCAGTCTTGGCTCTGGCTCTGTCTCTTGGCGCTCTACTCGCTCTTCTTCGGTTCTCAGCTCCAGTTGTGAGGCTGAGATCTACGCCACGGCCATGGCTGCCCAGGAGCTTTGCTGGCTCACCTACCTGCTGACTGACCTTAGAGAGCGGCCTCGTTCTCCTCCAGTGCTGTACGTCGACAACAAGGCAACCATTGCCTTGTGTCAGGAGCACAGACTGGAGCACAGGACGAAGCACATTGCTCTGCGCTACTTCCTTGCTCGAGAGCTGCCGCAGCGTGGTCAGCTTCGCCTGCGTTTCGTGGCCAGTGAGGCCAACACTGCTGATGTGTTCACCAAGGCACTTCCGCCTCGTGACCATCAGCGCTTTTGCACTCTGCTAGGCCTTGTGCCCACTGGGCCTCACTTGCTTACTTCTTGACCTTGCTTGTACTGCTGCATATATATATCCTTACTCTTGCTTGTTTAGCACTGTTATATATATATATGCTCTGCTGCATGTGAACTGGCCTTGTGGCCTTGACCTTGTGCTCGGAATTTGTGTGGTATCCTTGAGATCCACCCTGAGCTTGCTTTGCTTCTCTTTGCTTGTCTTGCTTGACTGGTCTTGTGACCCCTTGCTCTCCCCCACTTTGCCTATGGGGGTGTGTCAGATTATATTTAGCTGATGCATGTATTGTAGGCTGTAGTGGGGTAGCCCATAGGGGGTACAACCCAATTAGGGTTGGTACTTGTACTTGTTTCATTTCATAGTGCACCCATTCCTCTATCTCAACATAGCGCGGGGCCGACGGGGCCTGAAACGGGGCTAGCGCGGGCCGACGGGGCCTGAGAGGGGCTAGCGCGGGGCCGACGGGGCCTGAAACGGGGCCAACGGGGCCTGAAACGGGGCTAGCGCGGGCCGACGGGGCCTGAGAGGGGCTAGCGCGGGGCCGACGGGGCCTGAAACGGGGCCGACGGGGCCTGAAACGGGGCTAGCGCGGGCCTACGGGGCCCGAGAGGGGCTAGCGCGGGGCCTGAATGGGGCCTGAAAGGGGCCGACGGGGCCTGAACGGGGCCGCTAGGGAGAGCGGGCGTGGGGCCGACGGGGCCTGAACGGGGCTAGCGCGGGGCCGTCAAGAGGGGCCTCTAGGGGCGTGACACGCCGAGGCGCCCTAGGGTACAGGTAGGTAGGTAGGTAGTTACGTAGTGGTGGGCCCTTATAAAATTTCGGTCCTAGGAAGGACCTGCTCTATACCATGCTGGAATCACTGAACAGGAATGAATGAACTAGCAGTGAAATGAGTACAAGTACCTAACCCTAGAATTGTGTACCCCCTATAGGCTAACCCACTGTAGCCTAAACTAACACAACATATATAATGTTTGACAGAAGAAACAAAATGTTATCATACAAGCGCACACAACATGGAAAAACAATCTGAAGCATGGCGTGTTCAAACCAAACAAATTGAAAACCGATGTGAAACTCATCATTTCTAAAACAAAGCACCATAAATGGCACAACATATATGTAGTCAACAATTCGACATACTACTTGGTTGTCATAATACCGATCGCCTTGATAGATCTCAGTGATCCACAACACAGCCTCCGTCCCCTCACCTTGACATGGTCTGCAAATGAGTATAGCTCGGTCAAGCTAAACGTCCCACTCTAATCACGCACTGCGCAAACGGCTCTTGAAAAGTAGTTGGACTCCACCCTTACAACAGATAGCTCCACAATGAATGACGATACCTATGAGAGAATTGGAGGAAGAACAAAGAAGGTGAAAGGTGTGTACATGAAATGAGGAGTGGAAGGTGGGATATAGGAATGAAAGGTGGGATATAGGGGTGAAGAGCGAATGTAAAACAGAACTGTGAAGGGATTCGTTGATAAAAATGGCAAATGGAACGATTGGCGTGATAAAGTGGCACGCCCTCTTGCTATCCGTGAGCTGGGAGTGGGATACAAGGGGGAAAGGGGAGGAAAGAGCACGGGAGGAATGTTAGCGCGATGGCTTTATACGCCCTCTTACTGCCCGTAAGCAAAGAGAGGGGTACATTGGGGGAAAGGGGAGGAAAGAGCACGGAGGATGGTTGGTGTGATGGCGCCAAACACCCAATTGCTGCACGTGAGTTGATAGAGGAATGCATGGGGGAAAGGGGGAGGAAAGGCATGAGAGGAAGGTTGCCGTGATAATGTCATACGCCCTCTTGTTGCCCGTGAGCTGAGAGAGGGGTACAAGGGGGGAATGGGGGGAAGGAAAGAGCACGGGAGAAAGTTTTGCGTGATGGCGTCATACGCCCTCTTACTGCCCGTGAGTTGAGAGAGAGGTGGGGAAAGATGAGGAAAGGGCGCGAGAGGAAGGCTGTCGTGATGGCATCACACGACTTCTTGCTGCCCGTGAGCCGGTAGAATGGTAAAGGGGGGAAAAGGGGAGGAAAGTTGGTGAGATGGCATCATACGCCCTCTTGCTGTTCGTGAGCTGAGAGGGGGGTGAAGGGAGGGAAAGGGGACAAAAGAGTGTGGAAGGAAGGTTGGCGTATTAGCGTCATATGGCCTCTTGCTGCCCGTGAGCTAAAGGAGGGTACACGGGGGGAAAGAGGACGAAATACGGTGAAAAGAAGGTTGGCGTAGTGGTGTCATATGCCCTCTTGCTGCCCGTCAGCTGAGATAAGGGTACAAAGGGGAAAGGGGAGGAAAGAGTGCAGGAGGAAGGTTGGCATGATGGTATCATATGCCCTCCTGCTGACCGTGAGCCAAGAGGGAGTGCAAGGGGGAAAAGTGAAGGAAAGAGCACAAACTTGTGAAAGAAAAAACATGTAATGCTACCTTATAAAAACGAAACAAGAGATGCATGATCGTGGTTGAGGAAAAAAGGTGCCTACGGTCAAGACATATGTATTGTAGTAGAATACGATATGGCATGATATGAATTACAGTTTATGACATGAAACAAAATCAAAGATAGTGGAATAACATTTTGTTGAAGAAACATGATGCAGTACGTTTGGATTGGGGGGAAAACGGCGACTGAAGAGATGTGGGAGTGAATGCACTATGAGTATTGCGGGCATGTGATTCACGGTGCGCCCAAGTTAGTTTCTTTTTTTTTCTTGCCCTGCCCGAAGCGCGCGTCGCGCCTGCCTCACCTGCGCCATCGTGCGCCTTGCTTTACTGCCGCCCTTAGCGGCCCTGCCCTCGCGGCCCGTCGCGGCCTTACCCTAACGGCCCGTCGCGGCCCCTTCCTAGCCGCCATTCGCGGCCCTGCCCTGTCGCCGCCCTTCGCGGCCCACCCTAGCCGCTTGCGGCGGCCCTGCCCTGCCGCCGCTCGTTGCGCCCCTGCTCTCCGCCGCCACTCGCGGCCCTGCTCTACGCTGCCCCGACGCGGCCCTACCATACAGCCGCCGAGACGCGGCCCTGCCCTACTGCCGCCCAGTCGTGGCCCTGCTCTACCGCCGCCTCGTCGTGGCCCTGCCCTGCCGCCTCCTCGCGGCCCTGCCCTGCCGACTCGTCGTGGCCCTGCCCTGCCGGCTCGTCGCGGCCCTGCCCTGCCAGTCGCGTCCCTGCCCTACTCGCGCCCCTGGTAAGCGCCCGCCCTGCCAAGCGCGCCGCTACACATGCAAGCCTGCCAAGCCGCGCTGCCCCGCCGAGTCGCGCCACCCTGCTGAGCCGCGCCGCTCTGACGAGTCGTGCCGCCCCTGCCGAGTCGCGCCCCCCTGCCGAGTCGCGCCGCCCTGCCCTACTGCTACTGCTACTACTACTGCTACTGCTACTGCTACCGCTACTGCTACTGCCGCCATGGCTAGCCCTAGTGTTCTTACCTTCGATACTAAGGGTCGAGCGGTCGATTTCGAGGTCTGGGTCGATGACATGCAGCTCTTTCTGCAGTGCGACTCTAGGGATGGAGTCTCACTGTTCGATCACACGTCCGGCGCCTCTATTGCACCTGCTGCCGATGCTAACAGTGCAGTTCGCTGGCAGTGGACCACACGTGACGCTGCTGCTCCCCTTGCTGTTCGTGGTCACATGCTGTCTGCTGAGCGCGCGCACTTTAGCCAGTACAAGACTGCTAAGTCTCTATATGACGCTGTTGTTGCGCGCTACTCCTTCCCTGCCTCTGCTGCCCTCAGCCACCTCATGCTGCCGTACCTGTTCTCTGACCTAGCCGCTTTTGCCACAGTCGCTGACCTCATTACCCACCTACGCACTAGTGACACCCACTACTGCGCTGCGCTTCCTTCCAAGTTCTGCGCAAAGAACCCCCCCCTTATGTACATCACCCTATTCTGCCTCGTCACCTGGCTCCCTGACTCCCTTTGCTCAGTCAGGGACCACTTCCTCTCCCATTGCCCCATCGAGCTCACCGTTGACCTCCTCGAGGAGCGCCTCCTTGCAGCTGAGAAGAGCATAGTCGCTGTAGGAGCCTCTCGTGGTGACCCTTGTGCCCCTTTCTTCGAGGGGTGCTCCCCCGTCCCCCTTTTGCCCACTGTTGCTTCTGCTGCTGCTGTCGACCTTGTTGGCACCGAGTCGGTCGGGGCTGCGTCTGCTCCTAGTGGGAGGCGCCGCAGCGGCAAGGGCAAGGGGGGCAAGGGTGGTGAAGGGGACGGCGGGGGCGGCGGTGGTGGTGGTGCAGGAGGTGGAGGGGGTGGGGGTGGAGGTGGGGAAGGCGGCAGGAGTGGGGTGGGCGGTGGTGGAGGGGGTGGCGGCGGCAGCGGCAGTGGCAGTGGGGGTGGCGGCGGCGGTGGTGCTTGTCGGGGTGGAGCTGTGCAGCGAGGAGGCTTTGGCGGTGGCTAGCGCCAGCCGCAGCAGCGTTCCCGTGAGACCCCGTTGCCCTTCCTTCCTTCGTGAGTGGTACGCTGGGCGTGGGAGGTCTGGGGGTGCTGGTCCTTGAGCGTACGTTCTCCGCACCGGCGAGCACAGTGGGGAGATGTGCGGGCTGCCGCACGCTACACACCGCTGTTTCGGCCGCCTGATTGACGCTTGGCGCGCACAGTTTCCTGACGCCACTGAGCTCCCTCGCTGGGGTGATCTGCTTAGGTCGGGGGTTGCTATCTTCGATCTTGATTACGAAGCTATCCTTGCTGCTTTGTATGCTGTGACTATTAGTGCTGAGGGTGACTGTTACCTGTGTGTTCCGCCCGGCCCGAGCATTGAGGCTGCTGCTCTAGGTGCAAGTGAGTCTGCTGCCTCAGATGATGGTGAGTCTGCTCTCTCAGGTACCGCGTCAGCTTAGGTCTTGCACACTTTCAGTCTGGCTACCTGTCTGATCTTCACCTCCCCTCGTTCTCCACGAACTTGGTGAGTGGAGCTGACCTTCAAAACGCGTGGGTTGACCAGTTCACTCCTGGAGGTCAGCGGGTGACCCACTGTACGTGTACTCGGACGGGCCAACACCTGGCCACGTTCACCTGTTAGCCTGGGTCGAGACTGTACACCCTGACTACCGTGTCTCCTACGGTTGCTGAGTCTGGTCAGGTAGCCGCGTCTGTTCAGGTGTTTGCTGCAGCGTCCCGGTCTGGCCCTGAGTCTGCCCCCTGCTCGTGTCGCCTCCTGTCTCACCAGGCTCTCCTCTGGCACCACCGCCTTGGTCACCCCTCCCTGCCTCGTCTCCGAGGCATGGCCTCCCGTGTCCTTGTTACTGGTCTTCCCTGGTCTCTCCCTCCCCTTGTCCCAGGGCCTGCCCCTACCTGCATTCCTTGTGTCGAGGGGCGGCAGCAAGCCGCTCCTCACTCTTCCGAGTTCCCTCTTATGGAGGCTCCCCTGCAGACTCTTCACATGGACGTGTGGGACCCAGCCCGCGTCCGTGGACATGGTCACAAGCGTTACTTTCTGCTGGTCGTTGACGACTACTCGCCTTACACCACAGTCTTCCCCTTGCGCCGCAAGGGTGAGGTCACTGAGGTGCTGATTGACTGGATCCGTGCTGCTCGTCGCCAGCTCCGTGAGAGTTTCGGCTCGGACCTTCTTGTTCTGCGTCTGCACTCCGACAGGGGCAGAGAGTTTTCCTCCGACATTTTGCGGGCCTTCAATCGTGTGGGGGGCATCCGCCAGACGTTCACGCTTCCGGCCTCTCCACAGCAAAATGGGATTGCTGAGAGCCGCATTGGCATGGTCATAGACTTCACTCGTACGTCCATGATCCATGCGGATGCTCCCCATTTTCTGTGGCCGTTCGCGGTTCAATACGCTGCGCATCAGCTCAACCTCCAGCCCTGGGTCTCCGTGCCGGAAACCACACCTGCTGTGCGGTGGACGTGGAAGGTTGGTGATGCGTCAGCGTTCTGTGTCTAGGGATCTCGAGCCTTTGTCCGCGATTTGTCTGCGGACAAGCTGTCCTCCCGTGCTGTTCCCTGCGTCTTCCTTGGCTTCCCCCCTAGACGCGCCTGGCTAGCAGTTTTACCACCCCACCTCGCGCCGTGTTTTGTCCTCTCAAGACGTCACGTTTGACGAGTCGGTTCCTTACTACCGTCTCTTCCCCTACCGCACTGCCCCCCTCCCCCCCCCCCCCCCGCCGCTCTTCCTCGTTCCAGGTCCTCCCCCGGTAGACCCCCTCCCCCCTCAGGGTCCTGCCCCTTCAGGTGTGTCCTAGGTAGACGCAGTCTAGCCTGTCGAGGTAGCTATTGACTCTAGTGCTGCTAGGGGTGCTGAGCCTGCGGGTGCTGGGTCTGGGGGTGCCGAGCCAGGGGGTGCTGAGCATGGGGGTGCTAAGCCTGGGGTGCTGAGCCTAGGGGTGCTGAGCCTGGGGGTGCTGAGCCTGAGCGTGCGGAGCGTGGGGGTACTGAGTCTAGGTGTGCTGAGCCTGAGGGTGCTGAGCCTGGGGTTGCTGAGTCTGAGGGTGCAGAGCCTGAGGGTACAGAGCCTACGCGTGTGGAGCCTGGGGGTGCTGAGCTTGGGGGTCCTTTGTCCTGTGGAGGTCCTTCGGGTGCCTCGTCCCGGCGGGAGCCACTCTCTCCACAGCAGCTGCGCGAGTGGTTTTCTCGGTGCTGGAGCCGTGGTGCTGGAGCTGGTGGTGCTGTAGCTGGTGGTGCTACTGGTGCTGGAGGTCGTGCTGCTGCTGGAGCTGCTGGGGTTTCTGGAGCCACTGGTCCCGGAGGTGCTCGTACTTGAGGTACTGGAGCTGCTGGGCCTGGTGGTGCTGCTGGAGCTGGAGCTGCTGGCGCTCGAGGTCCTGCTGCTGCTGGAGCTGCAGGGGGTTCTAGAGCCACAGGTCCTGGAGGTGCTCGTACTGGAGGTACTGGAGCTGCTGGGCCTGGTGTTGCTGCTGGAGTTGGAGCTGCTGGAGGTGCTGGAGCTGGCGGTGTTGCTGGAGCAGGTGCTGCTAGAGATGCTAGAGCTGGCGCTACTGGAGCTGCTAGGGCTTATGGTGGTCCTGCTCGAGCTGGAGCTGCTAGAGGTGCTGGAGCTGGCGGTGTTGCTGGAGATGGTGCTCCTGGGGGTGCTGGAGTTGGCGCTGCTGGAGCTGCTGGAGGTGCTGCTGGAGCTGGTGGTGCCACGGGAGTTGGAGTTGATGCTGGGGGTGCTGGTGCTGTCTCTGCTGGTTCTGGATGCGCTACGCGGCCGCGGTCGTACTTCGTTCCGCTCCTTCAGCAGGTTCTTGGTCTTTCGCCTTCTACTGGTCCCGCTCCTTCCTTAGAGTGTCCACTGCCTGCCCATTCGCTGTCGTAGTTACAGCCCGCCTCCCCACTGCCTGCTCCTTCTCCTTACACTAGTCCGACCAAAGGTGTTGCTGAGCGTCGTGAGCGTGCGTCTCAACCTGCGTCGCGTGTTCCCGCTGCTCGCACTTGTCGTCGTGTTCCGTGTTAAAGTCCTCCTCCCGTCCCCGGCATGCACAAGATGGCACTGCATCCTTCCACTGCTCCGCAGCGTGCCCCTCTTCCGTCTCCTCCTGCGTCCCCCCTTGCTGTCGGTACGGACCCAGAGTCTGACTCCCTTCGTGCTGCTAGTCCTACTGTCACGCGTCTCCTGGCCACTGTTGTCACTGACCCTTCCTTTGAGTCCACTGCTGCGTCTGCTTTAGTTGCTGGGCTTATCGAATTTGCTGCTCAATGTCGTCTAGACTATGCCGCTAGTCTTGTTGCTGAGTCAAAGTTTGTCTGTCCTCCGTCCGTCGGGGGTGAGTGTGCTCTTAGCACGGACGTCCTTGAGGACAGGCAGGAGGAGTAACAGTGTTTTAGCAGCTGCTTTACCTCATCTCGTGTCCATGCTGCTTGCCCCTGAGGCAGACCCGGATGCACCAGACATCCCGACCCCGCGCTCTTACGCTGAGGCGATAGAGGGTCCCTACTCCTCTCAGTGGTAGACAGCCATGGACGCAGAGATGGCTTCCTGGAAGTCCACATGCACTTACGTTGACGAGGTTCCCCCACCTGGGGTGAACATCGTCAGTGGCATGTAGATTTTAAGGGTGAAGTGGCCGCCGGGTTCACTGCCGGGGCGCATTACGTTGCACGAGGCTTCAGTCAGCGACAGGGAGTTGGCTTCTTCTAGAACCTCTCCCTTACCCGAAAGATAACCACTCTTCGCATTCTGCTGCACGTCGCCTGTCAGCGTGACTACGAGCTTCACTGTCTTGACTTCAGCACAAATTTCTTACAGGGCAGCTCGCACGAGGAGATCTGGCTACGCCGCCCACCTGGCTTCACTGGGTCGTTTCCTCCTGGTACCTAGTGGAGCCTCCGGCGGCTAGTCTACGATCTCCGCCAGGCGCCCCATGAGTGGCACGACACCCTGAGGACTACGCTTGCGGCTATTGGGTTTGCTCCTTCCACTGCTCACCCGTCGCTGTTTCTACGCACTGACACTAGTCTGCCGCGGTTCTATATCCTCGTGTACGTCGACGACTTGGTCTTTGCTACTGCTGACACCGTTGGACTTGCCCACGTGAAGTCGGAGCTGCAGAAGAGACACGCGTGCACAGACCTGGGTGAGCTGCGCAGCTATCTTGGCTTGCAGATCACCCGGGACAGAGCACGATGCACCATTACCTTGACTCAGTCACACATGGTGCAACAGGTCCTTCAGCGCTTCCACTTCACGTACTCCTCACCTCAGGCGACTCCTCTGTCTACTCGCCACTCGCTCTGAGCTCTGCCTTCGGATGAGTCCGTAGAGCCGAGTGGCCCGTATCCAGAGCTTGTTGGCTGCCTCATGTACCTGATGACGTGCACTCGACCTGACTTGGCATACCCTCTTTGCATCCTGGCGTGCTATGTTGCTCCTAGCAGACACCAACCAGAGCACATGGATGCTGTAAAGAGGGTGTTGCGCTACTTGTGCAGTACGTCGGGCATAGGGCTCGTGCTTGGAGGACGAGCTCGAGTTGTCCTCACTTGTCACGCAGACGCTTCTTGGGTTGACGACTTAGCTACGCAGCGGTCGTCACAAGGTTATACCTTCAGCCTTGGCTCCGGCTCTTTTTCGTAGCAGTCTACCCGCTCGTCTTTTGTTTTTCAGCACCTATTGTGAGGCTGAGATCTATGTTGGGGCCATGGCTGCACAAGAGTTACGGTGGCTCACCTACCTGCTGACCGACTTGGGAGAGTCGCCTCGTTCTCCTCAAGTTATGTACGTCGACAACAAGGCCATGATTGCCTTGTGTCAGGAGCACAGACAAGAGCACAGAACGAAGCATATCGCTCTACACTACTTCTTTGCTCGAGAGTTGCAGCAGTGTGGTCAGCTTCGTCTTGCTTACGTGGCCACTCGGGCCAACACTGCTGATATCTTTACAAAGGCACTTCAGCCTTGTGATCATCAGCGTTTCTGTACTCTGTTAGGTCTTGTGCCTACCTGTCCTCACTTGCTCACCTCTTGACTTTGCTTGTATAGTGATCTATATATTCATTTACCTGCATGCTTACACTTGTTAGGTTGAGATCATTGTACTGTCTGTTCACCTTGATATAGAACTTTGCATGTGAACTGGCCTTGTGGCCTTTTTGCTTGTGCTTAGAATGCGTGGTGACGTCGTGATCCACCCTGAGCTTGACCTTGCCTTGTTCTCTAGTTTGTCCCCCACTTTGCCTACGGGGGTGTGTCAAAACTATACTCTAGGCTGTAGTGGGGCACTTATGGAGTACAACCCTGTTAGGTTTTGCTTATACAAACCTAGTACTGTTGTCATTCTAGCCATTCTCATTCCTTACTTTGTGACACCGAAGCAAAAGTGTGTCAGAATATTATTCTTATGTTCTAGCCTGTAGTGGGGTGCTCTATAGCGAGTACAACCCTTCT